AGATTTGGTATTCCTTTGTTGTCGTGTGCCGTTGAGTTGGTTCAAACTCATAGCGACCCTATGTACAACAGAGTGAAACACTGCCCAGTCCTGCGCCATCCTCACAGTTGTTTGCTATTTTTGAGCCCATTGTTGCAGCCACTGTGTCAGTCCATCTTGTTGAAGGTCTTCCTCTTTTTCGTACCTTCTACTTTATCAAGCATGATGTCCTTCTCCAGGGACTGGTCCCTCCTGATAAAATTTCCAGAGTATGTGAGACATGGGATTCTTTAGCAATAGTGTATTTGGGTATATTTCATATATATTTTATCATGTGCTGTTCATTGAAATAGCATATTACATAAGTATCTTGTATTTTATTTACAGTTTTTGGAAATGCTAATTTAAAATTTCTAGTAGAGTAACTGTAGTGCTACGTATAATATTGCTTGCGATTTAAAAAGTAAAATACATTTCCGTGGAGTCAGTATTTTAGAAGTTTACCTGAAGTTTTTGCTTTGTGGAACAGAAGACTATCTGAGAAATAAGCTTATGAAATTCATCACTATGTGATAGTGATTAATCAGCCTTCGGCGATGGAGATTAAAATTTGTTTACTTGCAAAATAGTTCATACATGAACTGAGAAGTAGGAGATAACCAGACTCATTGTCCAGGACTGATGGTTGTTCTCAGAAATTGGGCAGTAGAAGCTGGAAGGGTTCCACAGGTGATAATGCTAAGGTCCAATGAATGGAGAGTGAATAGCAGGTTCAAAGCAACTTATTTAGTTATTTGGGTAGCTATGTGGAGTCATTTTTCATAGCATTGACATGGAGTTGATGACTGGGAAGTTAAAAAGGTTGTGTCATGAAGGGGCTTTAGTTTCCATTACTATGTAATCAGGATTTCCAGTATGAATTAGGCTGATATAATGGGAGGTTCCTTGGTGAACTGAGTGTCTTAGTCATCTAGTGCTGCTACAACAGAAGTACCACAAGTGGATGGTTTTAATGAAGAGAAGTTTATTTCCTCGCAGGTAAAGTAGGCTAAAAGTCCAAATTCAGGGTGTCAGCTCCAGGGGAAGGCTTTCTCTCTCTCGGCCTTCTCATCAGTGTTCCTCCAAACTAGGAGCTTCTCATTCTCAGCACAGGGACCCCAGTCCAAAGAACGCGCTCTGCTCCCGGGGCACTGCTTTCTTGATGGTATGAGGTCCCCCTGTCTCTCTGCTCACTTCTGTCTTTTATATCTCAAGAGATTGCCTCAGGACACAGTCCAGTCTTATAGATCCAGTCCTGCCTTACCTACACAACTGCCACCCATCCTCCCTCATTAACATCATACGGGCAGGTTTACAACATACAGGAAAATCACACTGTACCAGGAATGATGGCCTAGCCAAATTGATGCACATTTTTGGTGGGACATAATTCAATCCATGACACTGAGTAAGATGTTGTAGAAATTAGAAACTCTTGCAAAAAAAAAACAAGACCTGCCTCTTCATCAAGTTGAAAAAGAATATAGGAAAAGGAATTGGCTACCAGGCTTTCCCACATAAAGCATTTCTGTTTCTTGGTTGAAAAATATTCACCACTCAGTATTTAAACTTTGGAGTGACCCATATATGAGGCTGTTAGAAACCACATCATGAATGCCACATTTAGAGGTTTAAATTACATTTAAATTATTTCATATTGTAAGTCATTTTGAAATATTTTTTATAGTATGTCTCTCTGTGACAGCTAACAAAACAACTTCAATGTGGAAAGTTGATGCTGAGGAACTAAGAGGGAAAATGAAGCTGAACAAGAGGATTCCATAATGCTTATTTCTTACATTTGAGTTCTTTTAAGGTTTTAATAGCACAATTGGAAATCTGATGTTTGGGAGAGTAGTTATCACAAGAACTGTAGACTTTGCTAAATTAATTAGCCTAAATGAATTTTTTTTTTTAAGCTTTAATCAGATAATCCAAATCTAAATTTAGATTCATTTTGAAGAATTAAGTGACTTGTATTCTTTTTGGCATCCTAATCAAATCCAACAGATACCTCTGACCTCTAATAATGCAGTATTGATATTATTTTTGTTATTATTTATTGTAGACATTGGTAAACATGTTATAGATCTATTTTTTAAGAAGAGATTTTGTAAGTTTTAATGGATTTACAAAGATGGAAACTTGCAAAAAATTTAAAAAAAGAAATGTAGTTTTATATAGTAGTTATTTCAGAGATTAGCATTTTAGAGGACCAGACAAAATGATAATTATTAATCTCTCTTCTGTCTAGATTTTAAAACTATTTTGGAAAATTGAACACAAGGATTAATTAGCATTTCTTGAGATTAATTTTTAGAAAAGTGTTGGCTATTGTGAGATGGGAAAGGTAGGAGGAGGTAGATTTTAGGATTATAAAGCATATATGATCATTAACAAATACATATTAAGTGCCTACTATGTAGCAGAAACTGTATGGAAATATAAAAGTGATGTACCTTCATACGGAAATAACACACAGTCCCCTGAAGGAACATACTGTCTAATGAGAGCCAGGATTAAAACACTCAATTTAAATTGACCTCTAATCCCATGCCCTATGGTTTATGAAAAATATCTATAATTAAATCTGTGTGTTTACAAATTTAGTAGTCTTTGTTTTTTACCCATTCTCATTGTAGGTAATGGATCATGTAGCATGTCTTTGGATCTGAATCTGTTTGATTTGGTTTTGCTTACGTAGAATCTTGTTTTAGTATGCAAAAGTACCTACAGAGACACATGTGCTTTATGGTGCACAGTAGAAATTCTGAATAACCTGTTTTCTAAAAACTTTATTTTCAAAGGCATTTTACATGTGGTAGAAAGCAATTTTTCCCCCTGTGGAAAACTATCTTTTTTTTTTTTTGTATGCTGTGTGAAGTTCTGGGACATTCATGGGAAATAAAATATGGTTTAGTATCACTCAAATTGTACAATAAGATTAGAGAGCTGAAGAGCTTAACCTGGAAGCCCTGAAGCTAGTTACTATTAATAGATGGAGAAATCTGGAAAACTTTTCTTTTTGTCCCTTCTGCCTTATAAAAAAACCAAAAACCAAACCCATTGCCGTCGAGTCGATTCTGACTCATAGCGACCCTACAGGACAGAGTAGCACTGCCCCATAGCGTTACCAAGCAGGGCCTGGTGGATTCAAACGGCAGTAGCTCTTAACCACTACGCCACCAGGGTTTCCTTTTGCCTCATAGTAAGTGGAAAGTAATACTTGTTTTTCCTTAAGAAATATGAAGGAAAATTATGGTGTGGGAAATTTTGGTTCTAGTTTTAAAATCTGGCTTTGGTTTCTCGATGCATGATAGAATACCAGCTTTTCTTAATTCTCTATATATAACAAATTGCAGATCACCCAAATGTAGCCTTACTGTTACCCATGTGTTCTAAAGTCTTTTTAGAAACAGTCTCAGGTTTGGACACTTAGGTTTAGTGCGTGTATTAAAATGAGGTGCCTGGGTAGCACAAACAGTCTATGCTCATCTACTTCCTGAAAGGTTGGCAGTTTGAACTCACTCAGGAGTGCCTAGGAAGAAAGGTCTAGTGATCTGCTTCTATAAAGATTATAGCCAAGAAAACCCTTTATAGAAGCAGATCACCAGGCGTTTCTTTTGCAATGCTGCTGTGTGGATTGAAAAAGCCAACTTTCTGGTTAGTAGCAGAGTGCAAACCGTTTGCATGACCCAGGGACCTCTTTTTGTCAGTTACCAAGCACTAATTCTTACATTGGAATCTCTGGGTGGTGCAAATGATTAACTCTCATGGCTGTTAACAAAAGGTTAGCCATTTGAGTCCACCCAGAGGTACCTTGGAAGAAAGTCCTGGTAATTATCAAGAATCAGCCATTGAAAACTCTATGGAGCACAGTTCTATACTGGCACACGTGGGGTCACTAGGAGTCAGAATCAATGGCAACTATTTATTTTTTAAAATTCTTACACCAGATCCCATCCGTTGATTGGTTCCTTTTAGGGCCGTTTGTCGTCTACTTCATACATGGCACATTTGAGGAGTTTTATGTCTAGTTGGTCATTATTGATGAGGGTTGTGATTATTTTGGCAAGTACGTGAAGAAGACTGCATAATATTAGTTTTGATTAGGGTGACATATGATTCATTATCCAAGTTGAATACTTTCGAGCATGAAAAGGAGCGCTATTAATAATTACATCAGAACAACAAGTATAAACCAAGACTGGCCCAGGAGAACCACAATATATAGTTACCCAAATTAGGATGCTTTTGATTGCAAGTAACAGAAAACGCAACTCAAACTAGGTTAAATAATAAAGGAAATATATTGGCTTGCATATCTGAAAAACTTAGTGTTTGGAAGTGGTACAGGTATGATTCAGCGTGTACTCTGGCTTTGTTTCTCTGTTTTCTAGACTCTGCCTTCTATGGCTGCCTTCCTTTATAGTTGGTGGATGATTGCCAAAAGCAATCTAGGCTATATTTTTCTTTATTTATGACCAACAGAAAAGAGAAGACTGCCCCTCCCATAAACATGGAATGAATCTGAAGCTTTGTGATTATTGGGTACTTATGAACTAATCTTTGTGGCAAGAGGAATTTCATGTATTGATTGTCTTAGGCATGGGATATCCAAATATCACTGAGGCATGCAGCATAGGATTACCCTGGTTCTTAGACTAGTCATAGTACACTCAGGAAACTGGTTGAAAGCATGACAGCTAAATGAAGGGAAAGGGTTGGAGTAGATTTACTCCAAAGTCCGTGTCATTCCTTAATTGTAGTTTCCCTTAGGCATCTGTTACTGAGTTCCTTAAGATCTTCACATACTGAGAGTCATGTAGTTTTCCTTTAAGTGGGAATTTGTGGTATAAAGTGACTAACTGGCTTGGCAAAGGGAGATAAAAAAATAAAACTTACCATCCCATTTTCTTTTTCCTCTATTTTTCTGTAAGACTGTAATAATTATTAATCATCTTTTTTTTTTTTTTAAACAGACTAATAGGGATGCCAAAGGAAAAATATGATCCTCCAGATCCTCGCAGAATTTATACCATCATGTCAGCAGAGGAGGTAGCCAATGGGAAAAAGTCTCACTGGGCAGAATTAGAAATCTCGGGTGAGTGGAATCTGAAGCATTTAATCCAGGATATAATAGCAGTAATGAACAAGAATTGAGTATTGCTGTATTTGTTTCTTTGTTGTACATTTTTAGGTAGGTAGACTAATGGAAAAATACAAGACACTGAAGTTACTGATGTTTAATTTGTCTTTTTTTATCTGTTATTAAATATGTTTGCTCTCATTCTTTCTTTAGAGATTAATTAGCTTGAGTCAGAGTTGGCATCTGGAATTGAGAACATTGAGAGTTTGGCTTCTAAATAAAACCAGGATCTTTGATTTAATAGATTTTGTTTTGGCTATTACAGAGTAATTATTTTCCAAACTGAAATCTTTGCCATTCTCCTATCATCCCAGTGTTGGCAGATTAGGAAACTTAGAAGCTATCTGTTCTAACAGAATATGTGTTACAGGTCCTTAATACATGTTTAGGATTTTTTAAAATAGAATATGGTTCCCCAAAACTCATAACCCCAGCCTGATCATAAGAACAACATCAGGCAAATCCAGATGGAAGGATATTCTACAAAATGCCTCACCAGTAATACTTAACATTGTTAAGGTCATGATGAAAAACAAAGATTGAAAAACTGTCACAGACTAGAGGAGACTAAGGAGACAAGATGAAAAATGTAATGTATCCTGGCTTGGCTACTAGAACAGAAGAAATGTAAAAATGGATGAGATCCACATAAAATCTGGAGTTTAATTAAAAGTAGTGTACCAGTGTTGGTTTCTTAGTTTTGACAAATGTACTATGATGGTGTAAAATGTTAATATTGGTAACTGAATGAGAAATATACAGGAACTTTCTGTATTATCTTGGTAACTTTTCTGTAAATCTAAAATTATCACAAAATTAAAAGTTTATTAAAAACAAAATATAAATACTGTTTTTGTCTTGTGAATTGGCATAATACAGAATATATATATAGAATGTAGTTTTTCCCCAGTATGCTTTAATTTGGAAGCATTAAACCCTATTAAACCCACATTATAATATCAATTGCAAGACCTGTAAATTTAACTAAAAGGTAACTGGCAGATAGGTGACTAGTAATCAAAAGAATACATATGAATAAATCCTTTTAGGTTAAACCAGGATTTCTCAACCTCAGTGCTACGAACACTTTGGGCTGGATAATTCTTTGTGATCAGGGGCTACTGTGAACATTTTAGGATGTTTAGCAGTATCCCTGTCTTCCACCCACTAGATGCCACTTGTTATTTGCTTAGTTGCTGTTGAGTCGGCTCTGACTCATGACAAGCTTATGTATAATAGAACAAAATGTTTCCTGGTCCTGCACAATTTTCATGATCGTTGGTATATTTGAGTCCATCATTGGCAGCTATTGTGTCAATCCATCTGATTCAGGGTTTCCTTCGTTTTCATTGGCCCTCTACTTTGCCAAACATAATGTCCTTCTCTAGTGATTGGAGATGCCAGTAGTTTCTATTTATTTGTGACAACCAGAAATGTTTTTAACCAGTTGCCAAGTTGATTCTGACTCATGGCGACCCATGTGTTTGAGAGTAGAACTATACTCCATAGGGATTTAATTGCTGTGACCTTTTGGAAGCAGATTGCCAGGCCTTTCTTTCAGGGTACCTGGAGGTTTGTTAGTAGCCCAGAACTGGACTGTGTGTACCACCAGGAACTCTATTGCCAAATGCCCCTTAGGGAGCAAACTCACTCCTGATTGACAACTGAAATAAGTTTGTCTTTTACCAGAGTCTCTCTTCCCTTGAAAACTTTGTTTCCTATAAAATACAAAATCCTAGTTGGCTCTTTAAGTCTAATTGTAGGCAGCAGGAAGGAACCTGTGGTAGAAAGCCCTGGAGAGAAGATCTACATTTGACTGTACTCAGTAGCTATATGAAAAGTAACATTTTCCTTCTGAGACTTTGTGCCCTCTCTACCTTCCATTGTCCCTCGTTATCAGACTCTATCCTTGGAAAATGATATATAATTAAAATGCCACTTTACTCTTGTAAGGAGCTCTGGTGGCACAGTGGTTAAAAGCTCAGCTGCTAACTAAACGGTCGGCAGTTCGAATCCATCAGCCGCTCCTTGGGGCAGTTCTGCTCTGTCCTGTAGGGTCGCTATGAGTTGGAATTGACTTGATGGCAACGGTTTACCTTTGTAAAGTTTACAAAATATCTTTATATAAATTATTTTGTATAATTAACCCTTATTGTAGGTAAGGTAGGTAAGATAATATCCTATTTTATAGACACTGAGGCTTGATAATTTGTCTAGGTTTGTATAGCTAATAAACGGTAAAAATCAGATCCCTGAACCAGGTCTTCTGACTTTTTGTAGTACATATTCTGACATAGCCATCAGATGCAGCCTGAATGATGACGATTAATGTGTGACTGTTTCCTTTAGTATTTTGCACTTAATGCAAAATCTTAAACCAGAGTTGTTAGTCTATAGTTGTAATATCGGAAAGCTGGGAGGAGATGTCTTCTTTGGGGGTAAAATGGTTTCTCTGATGGCTAATCTAAGGTTGACTGTAAGTCATAGTAATTCTTCTTTTCTGTATAAAGTTTATAGATTAATCCAGGCCCTGGAAATGAATAAACCTTGCACTATTAATTTTCATTGAGTATGTGAGAGGTACTTTTGTTAGAACTGCGCCTTAAAAAGAATTAGGGCTGTTCTACAACAAAAGCTCATTCAGCCCCATGCTTTCTCTCTGAGGCGATATGATCACCATGACTCCAAGGGTCTCCTCATTCTGCCAAATCTCATTTAATACATGAAAAGTCCATGAGAAAGAGTGGTTCTCAGGAGAAAAAAACCCAAAACCAGACCCGCTGTCATTGAGTTGATTCCAACTCATAGTGACTCTGTAGGACAGAGTGGAACTCCCCATAGAGTTCGCAAGGAGCCCTGGAGGATTCACGCTGCTCACCGTTTGGTTATCAGCCAATCTCTAAACCACTGCGCTACCAGGGGTCCTTTCAGGAGAAGGTGGTTTGAAATTAAAGGAGGGCCAGGCATGTTTAGAAGCTATGGCGTTAAATACAGCATTTAAATGCCCAGGATATGGTATCTTCATGTATTTGCAGCCTCTTTTACCGCTTTTTAGTCCTTGCTGTTTTGCAGTCTTCGTCTTGGATATTGAGTTTTATGCCACAATATTTTGCCTTTTAGGTAGAGTGCGGAGCTTAAGTACATCACTTTGGTCATTGACACACTTGACAGCACTGCACCTAAATGACAATTACCTTAGTCGCATTCCACCTGATATTGCCAAGCTTCATAATCTGGTTTACCTGGATCTGTCATCCAATAAACTCAGAAGTTTACCAGCAGAACTAGGAAACATGGTGTCTCTCAGGTGAGGAAATATTATAGACATGACTCACTATATATTATATCATTATATTATAATCTAAATTTATGAAATAAGTAAATTATGTGATATTACTCATCTTACAGTTGGATTTCTGTGTGTGTGAAGATTAAGTGATGTAATATAAACTGTCTTAGCACAGTGCTTCAGTTGACCCCCAAGGAACATTTCTTTTTTTTGCTTTAAGTTTGGACGTTCTTGGCTAAAAATGTGCTTGTATTATCAACATGTTCCCACAAACTAGAGGCAGTGTGGGATTAAAAAAAATAAACCCCAGTTTAAGGTCAAGTATCTAATAAGGCTAATCAGAAATAATTGGGAAAATGTGATTTGCTTATAAGTAAAACTTTTAGGAACATATCTTTATTACATAGGGCAGGGTATACTTATATTTTATATTACAACTCCATAGGAATCCTTAAAACCTGTTAATAGATAGATTCATTTGTAGTTCTTCAGGATCCTTTAAGAATTTCTTCATAGGTTAAATTTTTGCAGAAATCTTGAGACCTTGTGTAAATTTTCCCAGTAAAAACAATAATTGCGTTTTTACCTTGTTTATCTGCTGAGTAGGAATTTAAAAAGAAAAACTGCTCTCACATGTTTAAAATTAAACATTTATATTGTTTTAGAATCTTGCTCTTCACCATCCCCTTACTGTGTGTTTTATTCATTTTTCACTTTTAAAAAAAATTTCTGGTTATCTAATAATGAGGATTCTGTTTATTTTTTCTATATAGATTACCACATTTTCACAATCATAAACTTAGATTTTATATGTGTTAGCCTGTGCTTCCTTTTCATGTTTATGGTCCATGTCAGTGATTGTCCATCATAGTATCCTGACAGGATTATAGGTGTAATCAGTTGTGGGAAACTGATGCAGGTGATTTGACTACTAATTATAGTTAAATTCTGAAGTCTGTAAAAAAAAAAAAAAAAAAAAAAATTTTCCTATGAAAATACAGGTTCAAGGATACCTGTAAAATGATGTCAGTCTGATTTGCATTTGATAGGCATTTTGGGAAAGAGCGTGGACCTAGCCTGAGAATGATATGCAATTCCTACACCTCTAACTTTAATTTGTGTTAGAGAATGAGTAAATCATAGGAACACTGTTATTAATTGTAGCAATTACACATTTTGTAGTATTTGAATATTGTATGCTTTTGGATAAACATACAGAAACGTGGCTTGGATGTAAACATCACTCATGGTGTGTTGGAAGGAAGGTTAAGAAGATTAATAAATATCAACAATTGTAGATATTTATTAAATTTGACATATTAAACTAAAATAAATTCATCTTTTTTTAAAACAGGGAATTGCTTTTAAATAACAATCTGTTACGGGTTTTACCTTATGAACTTGGTCGGCTCTTCCAGCTACAAACTCTAGGTTTGAAAGGTAAGCAATTAAAAAAAAAAAAGGTAGTGTTAATGCTAAGTATTGAGATGTTCTGAGGGAAAAATTATAATACTGAAAGTTTATTATACCTAATAATTATTGTAAATAAAACTTATTAATCCAAAATGCATGATCCTCTGATTATCTCATCTCAATAAGTTTGAGATAAAAGTCATACTCAATTTACATAAATATTGGAATTTGTATTTTCTTTTATGGCATAGCATAAGAAGGAGGGTTTATTTTTGAATTTGGAGAACTAGATGCAGATGTTGGTTAAACGTTTTATTCAGTGCTTCTGAAGGATATACATCAGTCAAAGCTTTGGAAAATAAATGCATACTTTCACATATTTTATTTGCCTTCTTCGAAGACTGTTCGAGTCTCCATGAAAATGCTGTATTTACATTTGCTTATATAATGGAATATTAAGTATGTAGCTTGAATAAGAATAGGAAGAATGCTGACTTTATTGGCTGAAATGACAGAAATGGTATTAGACTTCATTATATAGTTAACCTTTTGTAAATTGGATAATTACATGAATGGTCTAAATCTTGTCTTTTTAGTTTCTCTGTAGATTTTTTTTATTGATACTTTTATCATGTACAATAAGGGGGAATACTTATATCTAAATTATTTTCCTGAGGATTAACCGAAGGTATTTGAAATTTAACTGTTGTAACATTTCATCTTATTTTGTATTTTTTTTCTTATAAGTATAGTTGAAACAGTCATCCAGCTAAAGTTGGAGTTGAAGCCATTCTGTTTCTCTATTAAAAAATTATGTGATAGATGACACTTTTTATAATTTTAGATTGATTCCTGAAGTATGAAATTTACATTTTCTTTCTTGAAGTATGAAATTAACACTTTCTTTCATAATGATTATTATAAATTTATATATAAATTATAGCTTTGTTTCTACTAAGACTACCCCTTGTTTCTTTTAACATTAATCAGAACAGGTGTTTCCCTCCTCTATATTGATAGACCACATCAAAGACAAATGAATAATTTACTACTGAACCCAGTGGACTTACTGACTTACCCTTTGTACCAGGCAGCATTCCAAAAAAGCAACTGCATTTCTTACTGTTTCATAACCTTCTTCTATGTTATGTCATATAGAGACATGCCCCCAGAAAGTTTAGGCTAAGTATCAATTAAATGAATCATTCTGAAATCTTTTGTCTCCTTAGTTCTTTGTTCTGTTTTACTAGTTAGAATGTTAAAGTCCTTTAAACTACTGATTTTCACTGGCCTTTGAGTCTAGTGGCCTTTTGTCCACTGATTCACATATGCTAAAATCTCTTCTTTGAACTCTAGTCTATTAAGTCAGGCACCAGCTTGGCTTCACCAGCTGTAACTTAGCTTTGTTCATGCCTATGGATAAGTTCCTTTTTATTAAACTGGAGTTTATGCTATGGTAAATATCTGTGTGCAGGCTTTTTCTCTTTTGTGAGAATCTGCCAAGTTTTCTGGCAGTGCCACATTCTATTGAAATGAATCGGTACAGATGAGCAAAGGACTTTCAGAAATGAAAGAAAAGCAGAGCCTTTCCTGCCTTTTTTCAAAAGTTTAAGATAGTAAGAACAAGAATGGCTATATGGAGCATTGAAGGAATAAAATGTCCCTAATAAATAATCCCCCCTATGTGTCTGTCAGTTTGTCGTACTGTGCGGGCTTGTGTGTTGCTGTGATGCTGGAAGCTATGCCACCGGTATTCACATGCCAGCAGGATCACCCATGGTGGACAGGTTTCAGCTGAGCTTCCAGACTAAGACTAGGAAGAAGGACCCAGCGGTCTACTTCTGAAAAGAATTAGCCAGTGAAAACCTTATGAATAGCAGCAGAACATTGTCTGATATAGTGCTGGAAGATGAGCCCCCTGGGCTGGAAGGCACTCAAAATAACGACTGAGGAAGAGCTGCCTCCTCAAAGTAGAGTGGACCTTAATGACGTGGATGGAGTCAAGCTTTCCGGACCTACATTTGCTGTTGTGGCATGACTCAAAATGAGAAGAAACAGCTGCAAACATCCATTAATAATTGGAACATGGAATGTACGAAGTATGAATCTAGGAAAATTGGAAATCGTCAGAAATGAAATGAAACTCATAAACATCGATATCCTAGGCATTAGTGAGCTGAAATGGACTGCTGTTGGCCATTTTGAATCAGCCAATATGGTCTACTGTGCCAGGAATGACAATGTGAAGAGGAATGGCGTTGCATTCATAGTCAAAAAGAACATTTCAAGATCTATCCTGAACTACAACGCTATCAGTGATAGGACAATATCTATACATCTACAAGGAAGGCCAGTTAATGCGACTGTTATCGAAATTTACACACCAACCACTAAGGCCAAACATGAAGAAACTGAATATATTTACTAGCTTCTGCAGTATGAAATTGATCGAACCATGCAATCAGGATGCATTGATAATTACTGGTGATTGGAATGCGAAAGTTGGAAACGAAGAATTGGTATGTCATGGATTGAACTATGTCCCCCCAAAATGTGTGTGTATCAGTTTAGCTAGTCCATGATTCCTGGTATTGTGTGATTTTCCTGTATGTTGTAAATCCTGCCTCTATGATTTAATGAGGGAGGATGGGCGACAGTTGTGTTAGTGAGGCAGGACTCATTCTACAAGATTGGATTGTATCTTGAGGCAGTCTCTTGACACATAAAAGACAGAAGCGAGCAGAGAAACAGAGACCTCATTCCACCAAGAAAGCAGTACCGGGAGCAGAGCACATCCTTTGGTCCTGGAGTCCCTGCGCGGAGAAGTTCCTAGTCTGGGGGAAGATTGATGAGAGTGCCTACAGAGAGAGAAAGCCTTCCCCTTTGTCATGGATTGAATTATGTCCCCCCAAAACTGTGTGTATCAATTTGCTGGGTCATGATTCTCAGTATTGTACGACTGTGTACCATTCTGTAATCTGATGTGATTTCCTTATGTGTTGTAAATTTAATCACTATGCTCTAAGAAGATGGATTAGCGGTAGTTATACTGATGAGGTATATAAGATTGGATAGTGTCTTAAACCAATCTCTTTTGAGATATAAAAGAGAGAAGTGAGCAGAGACACATGGGAACCTCATACCACCAAGGAAGCAGTGCCAGGAGTAGAGCACGTCCTTTGGACCTGAGGTTCCTGCCCTGAGATGCTCCCAGACCAAAGGAAGACTGATGCATCACAAGGACCTTCCTCCAGAGCCAACACAGAGAAAGCCTTCTCCTGGAGCTGATGCCCTGAATTTGGACTTTTAGCCTACCTTACTGGGAAGCGATAGATCTCTCTTTGTTAAAGCCATCCATTTGTGGTATTTCTGTTTCTGTTACAGCAGCACTAGATGACAGAGACAAGTAGTTGGAAAATATGACCTTGGTGATAGAAATGATACCGGAGATCGCATGACTTCTTCATTGCAAATACCTTTTATCAGCAGTGTAAACGGCAACTCTACACATGGATCTTGCCAGATGGAATACACAGGAATCAAATCCACTACATCTTTGTAAAGAGAGATCAGTCAGAACAAGGCCAGGGGCCACCTGCAGAACAGACCATCGATTACTTGTATGCAAGTTCATGTTGAAACTGAAAAAAATTAGAACAAGTTCACGAGAGCCAAGATACGACCTTGAGTGTATCCCACCTGAATTTAGAGACCATCTCAAGAAGAGATTTGACGCTTGAACAGTAATGACTAAAGACCAGATGAGTTGTGGAATGATACCAAGGACATCATACATGAAGAAAGCAAGAGGTCATTAAAAAGAAAGAAAGGAAAGAACAGACCAAAATGGATGTCAGAAGAGACTCTGAAAGTTGCTCTTGAACATCGAGTAGCTAAAGCAAAAGGAAGAAATGATCAAGTAAAAGAACTGAACAGAAGATTTCAAAGGGCAGCTCAAGAAGACAAAGTATTAATAATGACACTTGCAAAGAGCTGGAGATAGAAAACCCAAAGGGAAGAACATGCTCGGCATTTCTCAAGGTGAAAGAACTGAAGGAAAAATTCAAGCCTCGAGTTGCAATAGTGAAGGATTCTATGGGGGAAAATATTAAAGGATGCAGGAAGCATCAAAAGAAGATGGAAGGAATATACAGAGTCATTGATCCAAAAAGAATTGGTCGACGTTTAGCCATTTCAAGAGGTAGCATATGATTAGGAACGAATGGTACTGAAGGAAGAAGTCCAAGCTGCACTGAAGGCATTGGTGAAAAACAAGGGTCCGAGAATTGATGGAGTATCAATTAAGATGTTTCAACAAATGGATGCAGCACTGGAAGTGCTCATTCGTCTATGCCAAGAAATTTGGAAGACAGCTACCTGGCTAACCGACTGAAAGAGATCCATATTTGTGCCTATTCCCAAGAAAGGTAATCCAACTGAATGCAGAAATTATCAAACAATATCATTAATATCGCATGCAAGTAAAATTTTGCTGAAGATCATTCAAAAGTGGCTGCAGCAGTATATCAACAGGGAACTGCCAGAAATTCAGGCTGGATTCAGAAGAGGACGTGGAATCAAGGATATCATAGCTGATGTCAGATAGATCCTGGTGAAAGCAGAGAATACCAGAAAGATGTTTACCTGTGTTTTATTGACTATGCAAAGGCATTCGACTGTGTGGAGCATAAAAAATTATGGATAACATGGAAATTCCACAACACATAATTGTGCTCATGAGGAACCTGTACATAGATCAAGAGGCAGTTGTTCGGACAGAACAAGGGGATACTGTGTGGTTTAAAGTCAGGAAAGATGTGCGTCAGGGTTGTATCCTTTCTTCATACTTATTCATTCTGTATGCTGAGCAAATAATCCGAGAAGCTGGACTATATGAAGGAGAACACGGGGCATCAGGGTTGGAGGAAGACTCATTAACAACCTGTGTTGTGCAGATGGTACAACCTTGCTTGCTGAAAGTGAAGAGGACTTGAAGTGCTTACTGATGAAGATCAAAGACCACAGCC